AATGAGAATTTAAGAAATCCCTTGGGTGGCACAGTAATATTTTCAACTATGTTGGGAAAATATTATATTATAATTCTATATATATAATATATATATTATATTATAATTATATTATATTATAATATATAATATTATATTTCTCTCCCTTGTAAGAATCCCTGGAGCCTTCTAATACTCTGAATGCTGCATGGACTCAATTTTCCCAGTTGGCCAAATTGATGCTATGCAGGTGTCTATGGGAGAACACTGCTTTCAGTACCACTTCAATACTCTCTCCTATTATAAGAGAGAATCTAAAGAATTCTGAACCCAAAATTCAAATCTTACAATCTGAAGGCACAATTCACTCAACCAGTACTGTTACAGTTTCTGAGGACCTGCCATTGTTCCAGTAGAACAATGCACCTCTGTTTTCAGCCCTATTGTCAAGCTGGCTCCTTCAATGTTTTCATGTTTCTGGATGTGCTTTTTGAGCTTTTGAACATACAAGAGAGTCCTGTGTCTATTGTAGTCTCTTTATAGTGGGATCAGAACATAAAAACTCTAAACAGGAGCACAGGTGAGTCGGTAGGGTCTGTAGCAGGTCATTAGGCATAAATGTGTGGGAAGAATTCTCCATGCTTACTGTTTTTGTGACCAGCTACATATCGGTAGTTATTGACCCCTGCAACTCAGGAAATCAGTAGATAGGAAGAGTTCAGGTGTGCCCATATTTGCATTCTCAGCCCTGAAGCTTGAAAAACTTGATGCTCTCCAACTTGTGCTGCATCTTGATCACTTGCCACCTCATTTTCAGTACCAGTTCTGCCTCCTGGTACCACTTCTTAAGTGAATTAGATGTACCTGTGGGGCTACAGTTTGGTGAAGTAAAGTCAGACTCGGTAAACCAATGCAAGGAAAGAGGGCAGTGCATATCATCCAAACATTGCCACCTCAATCCTGGTCCCTCCAGGCCTTGCTTCCATTCTGTCAAATGAAAAGCAAGTTAATATATCCTGGATATGATATAAAATATGGTTGTAGAGATTTTCAAGGTAATGTGACAGTATGGAACTAAACAGTAGAAATTTGGTATATAATCTTAAATATAAATATAATGAAAATTATGTTAAAAAGTAACTAGTAAGGAAAGAGCATAAGTAAGTAAAAAAAGTAACAAAAAGTAAGTAGTAAGGAAAGAGTAAGTAGTAAAGAAAGTCATAATATTTGAAAGGTGTTAAGCAATCACAAAGTCAGTCAGGTTTATCAAAACATATCCAGGTAGTCCTGTTCCTAAACTAGTTCCCTTGCAAAGTGGTGGAGGAGGAAAGAAAGAGCCATGACAAAATAATACTTAACATATAAATTAGAGATAAGAGAGATCCCTTATGAAGTGCTTTCTTCCTACCTGAGCAATAACCCTCACCTCCTGATTCACTTCGAGTCCAGCGCACATCACCTTAGAACTTCCCAGTTCTGTCCAAACAGACATTCCATGGGCAATAGCTGGCAATTCTTGCATTTTCTGAAATTCCTTTTTGTATGCCTGTGTTCTCCATAAGGATCCTGTCAAGATGGTACTGATGCAAGAAAACTTTCTCCTGATTGGGAGGTCAAGAGACAAAATCTGAGTGTAGGAAAGAATTTGTAAGATAAACAGCATACTCTTAGGAAGGAGTTAATGCACCATCAAACAAGACATTTTCCCTGACTTACCTTGAAGCTCCACACCCAGATGGGAACACTCCCTCCTTCCTCTGTGTGACCCGCAGAACCTAGAAAAGTTGGGGACAAAAGCACTGAGTGTCTGAGTAGGCTGGAGGTAAAGGACACATCTGACACTTTCTCTCCTACCAGAGCTGTCCACTGTTCATTAGGAAGACCTGACTTCCTGAAGTTGGTAGTTTTCCCTTTGTGAGATACAAAAGCCAAGGAAACATGTTCATTCTAATACTGGAGTCATTTTTTTCTCCAGGGAAAAGCATTTTCTTAGCTTTGAAAACAAACAAAATCAATAGAAGAAGACACAGACCTCTGCCTGAACAGAAAAAAATCTGTACTCCAGACTTAACACTGTCTTATCTCTGTTGGCCAATAGGAGGCGCTGGTCATATAGATATCTTGAGTTCCCGGGGTAAAATGGATTCTGCTTTCTCTTTCTTTTTAGCTACACCTAATATTATGTCACTGTAATAAAGACATTCCCTTACTTCTAAAAATATTCATCAAAAGAAAAAAGAAAAGCCCCTCATATAGGAATTTCTGACGAACCGAGAACTTTCATTCAACTTTGACTTTAATTGGTCAATTTGTACTCTTAAGGGGAAATTCATGGCCAGAAGACACAAGGGCAGGGAAAACAGCTGTATAAATCTGTAAGGCAGGTCAATGAGGAGCGATTGAGCAGAGCACTATGGGGCTTTCTAAAGGGAAGGGAAATGCTTCCTGTGGTTCCATAATGAAAGTATGTGGTCCAGAAATGTGTCACATTAGAATTAGTACGAGAATACTACCCATATTCACTTCAGTAGAGAAGACTAACTTCTTTTCCAGGTATTTCTACAAGTTGCCATTTCCTGACTGAACTTAAATTCACATCCATCCTCCATGTGAAGGGTGTCTGTTTTTTTGTTCTTCTACAGAACTCTTCTCAGAATTCCTTAATTTTTTTTAATTCTCATGTTTCCCCCCACACTTTTCCAGACATTTTCAAAGCCACCATTTCCTGTCTGAATGTATTTTTTTTTAAATGAAGAAGGACAATTTTTCCCTGCTCTAGAATTCATGACAAAATTCTGCTGTTTTTAGGCTACCTCTTTTGGAGGTCAGTTATTGGGAAGTAGGACCCAGTTCATACAAATTTTAATAAAAGACAAATAATTTTCTCATATACAGTGAAAAAAATTAGCAAAACCCTACCACGTTTTAAATAGTACTCTATGGGATATACTATGATAAGTGCTTTAAAATGCATGTGTTCTTCTACTTTTCACAACAGTACAAATATTTTAAACCAGTTTTATTTATTGAGAAAGCTGAGTTTTAAAGAGATTGAGTGAGTTACTTGCTATCACACAGATGTCCAAGCAGAAAAGAATGCCAATGAAGCATCCTTTATGGTGATGTATTAATGATTTTACTAGTTTTGTGTTCTGGATTTTGGTTATAAATGCTGTATCTTCTTTTATTCTGGAATTACATGCAATTCTTCTTTGCTGTTTGAATTTCTGTGCTTCCTGATTTATTTTGAACTGCTTTTGACATTTTCTTGAACTTTGGTATTGAGAGATCTTTAGATCAAGTCTCCTACTATATCCATGGTAGTTTGCTTATTTTGGAATCTGCATGAGTTTTAAATATTCATAAAGCCGGGAAATTACAAGGAGTGATACAAAAGAAGTCTTACCATATCCAGCTGTACTAAAAATGAAGTGCATTTTTTTACAAGTAAAACAATTTGATAATGACACAAGATAATTAATAAAGTAAATAAATTCAGAAGTCATTACATCATCAATGTTAATGGGATTTTATTATGAATGATTCAGTTATCAATTTCTGCCTAACAAATTAACAAAAATTGAGGGGATCACTGATATTCATAGTATTATTTAAAACAAATGCTAAATTATTGCAATTGAGTATGCTATGATTTAAGATATATATGTTAAACATGTTATTTGCCATTGCATCAATTACTCAGAATCTATCCAGAAAATTATATTACAAAAAAGGAAATTTATGCAAAGAAATAAATGGCCTACATTGCCCTCAGAATTCCATGATATATCCTTCACTACTTCTCTTATTTCCAACTTATCCAATGTGATTTCTGCTTATTAATTCCACCAAATGTTGCCATTAATGTTACCACTGCCATCTATTTTCCAATATACTGGGCAGATCCAGTCCATACCTTGCCTGAATTCACTGGTTCTGTTTCTAAAAAGTTTATTTTGTTAATTAGACTTTTACCACAATGTCCTTGTAATGTGAGGCTCTTCTCCTTGTTTTTTTTTTTGTGGCTCTTTTCTCCCCTTCCTTTAAAGACTGTTGATCCTCAGGATGAAGTTAAGTCTCTTTCAACCTCTCTGTCTCTCCCCATATGTCTACCTTCCCTTTAGGGCTTTCAGTTGCTGTGTATGAACTTCGAGCAACTGGCTTTGTATTTTGGAAATTTATTATCCAATTAGCAGTGTCCATTTGCACATACAGATGTGCCATCAACTTACAGAGGCTATTTCTGCTTTCATTTTTTTAAGTCCTGGCATGCCACAATCTGCCTTTTACTGAAGGAATTTTGTGCTTTTTCCTTCTTCTCATTGAATCAGTTAACAGCTGATATTAACTAAGTATGATTTTTGTTTTTAAGTTTCTTTACCTATGAAAATCAAAGATACAAGAGAGCAGGAATTGTATTTGTTAGGTTCACCTCTATAGGACGAGGTCAACATTCAACCTGGTTTAGAAAAAGTCTTGGTTTATTTTTTTGCAGTGTTAGGTATCCAACCAAGAGCCTCAACACACTAAGTAAGCACTCATCTACTGAGCTACATCCCAACATGTTAAAAATTCAGTTTTTATTCATAATTTGAACATATTAATGATGATAAAGGATTCCATCTTCCAATTCTTTATAAGGTTATGTAATAAGTTATGGAGTTTCTTTTTGAAGAATAAGCTCATGAAAGAAGTTTTCTATGCTAGAAACTTAAAGCAAAATAAGAAATGTGCCATTTTAAAAGAACAAATTTTGTTGTGTTAACTACAATGTGAAAGTGCAAATAAATTAAACCACCAAAAATAATTTAAATCTTAAAAATAGCTAAATAAATAAATAGGTAGATAGATAAATCAGTGAGCATTGAATACAATGTTTCTAATACTCCTGAAAATACCTCACAGATTGATGGAAGATATGTCACAAACGTAGCAAAAATGAGTCTTTGCAATGGCAGACCTAATGAACATGAGATACATTGTATTATTCACTAAGGGTCATTTCCATGATGGAGCAGGTCTCATTCTTCATTTCTTAATCTTTTCTGTAAGTTTGCTGATAAAGAGAAAGATCTCATGATTTCTCCTCTGACCACCTCCCAAGAACAGGGGCTGTATTTCTTCTCTCTCAAGTACAGAGTGATCCTGTGGAAGTAATTCCTCACAGCCAGTGTGGAGTCCCCACGCATCAGGAGAGGCCTTTCCTCCCCCACCTCCTGTGTCAGACAGGCTTCCAGTTCTTTCAGCTGCTGAGAGAGGCCAGTGCACAATTTGTGCAGAAGGGTCTTCTCCCAAGCAGCAGAGGAGGCCTTTGTGCTGAAGAGGTTGTAGATCTGCTGGGTCATCTCATGGAGGACTGAGCTGGCTTGAGCTTTCTGGGCCTGGTTGCCATTGAATTCTTCCTGGGGGAATCCAAAGTTGTTTCTGTCCTTCATGCAAGAGAAAGGAGAGATTCTCCTCATTTGTCCCAGGAGTATCATGGCCCTCCTATTTCCCATACCATAGGTCTGTGGCAGGTCACAGCCCAGGGAGCAGGTTGATCTGAGCCTGAGAATCAGCAGGGCCACCAGTAGAGCAAACAGAAAGGCCAATGGGGATGTTGCAGATGCTGTTCACCTGGCTGAGGTGAATGATAGTGGACCTTCGCTTGTAGGTCTCTGAAGACCATCAGGTGCTTATTTGACTTAAGTGGAGAACATTCAATGTTCCATTTCCTGAATACACTCCCATGACTTTCCACTTCTGTTTTTGTTTTCCTTTATGCTTTCAAACTACTTGGGTTTAGAATGGCATTTCCAACCATTTGGTTCTCCCTCCTCATGCTACCCAGAGCTTTTTAGATTTTTTTTTTCCTAATAGAAATCCTGATTAAAATTCAACAGCACAGATATATGGTAACATATTTATATATACTATCTACATCTTTACTTTATGCATAAAAAAGAAAGTGCAAATTTCAATTATTTAAATGACACAAAAAATTTAAGCTGAAAGTGAAATTTAAAAGCCTGTAATAGTCTATTTAATTTTATTAATGCATTTTTGCTTTAAGCAAAATTCATTTGCTTATAAATTGTGATTTTTTAAGAATTATATTTTACTGGTAATTTAGTGACTTTTAATGTAATGTGTTTACTTATGTAAATTGTAGCAAATCACATTATGAAAATTTTTATTTATAAAATATATAATGCAGTGTACAGAAATCCAGAAATCTTTCAAAACTCATAAAAATATTTAAAATACAAAGTATTTAAATTTTTATTTATGTAAATAGATTTTAGTTTTGTTTCACATGAGAACATAATTTTTAACTTCACTAGCTGCTAAATAATATCAAGTGACATAATTATTAATACATTGAATAACTTTACTAGAACTAAGAAACAAAATATGATCAATAGGTGTTTAACTCCCATAGACCAAAACACATTAAGACACTCTGAAGTTCAAACATAAGCAATACATACAATACTTTTCTCCATCTTCCATGAACTTAATGCCAATGTTTCTCCAGGGATAAAAGGAAACTCAAGAAAAGGAAACAAACACTAAAGAAAAAGATTTTATTAGAGTTCAGATTTGGAAGGCCACAAAACCTGGCAATATCTAAGACTGGTTCATAGTCTACAAACTAATTTTCTTCCATCTGGGAGGCATATTGTCCCCAATCAGAATACAAGACTAAGAAAATATTAGTTTTATTTTAAAGAAAAATTTTGCATTAGAAATTTTTGAGAATTCACAAAAAGATTCCAACTTTAGTTAATTATGACCAAGAAAAGAAAACTGTTTGTGTCCTAATGACAATAATGGGAAGTAAGTATAATAAACTAAATGGAGTATACAATTTTCCTGTATAGCATGCAAAATAGTATATAAATTTCTTTTTTAATTTCTCTTTCCTAGAAAGGAAAAGTTGTCATTTTTTGTATTGCAATGATTGGGGACAAAGAAAACAAAATAATGCCTGAATGTGATTAAAATGAAAGAAGGGAAGCAATATTTCAGTGAGAAAAACTAGTGACAAAACATAATGTAGCTAAATTCAACCAAGCAAATGGAGAGTAAAGGATGGGGTAGAGCATAGACAAGATGGTTGAGAGATGTATGTTAGAATATAGAGCAGGTGTGGGCTCAAAGAAACTATCCAATCCTGGGTCCATGGATTGTTTTTAGCTTTGGTGATTCCAGCCTTCAACAGTCAAGGAAGACACATAGTCCAACCCAGAAGAGTTTATAATAAGGTGAGGCAGTTCAGGGGTGTGTGTGTGTGTGTGTGTGTGTGTGTGTGTAGAGAGAGAGAGCAGAGAGAGAGAGAGAGAGAGAGAGAGAGAGAGAGAGAAAGAGAGAGGGTCTCTTGCCTATGTGGTTCTTTGGACTCTCTATGTAACTGAGGATGGTCTGGTACTCATGATCCTCCTGCCTCAGCCATCCTAGTGCTGGGGTTACTGGTTTGAACCACCTCACCTGGCTCTAGGAAGTCAAATTTTAAAGAGCACTTTATTCTTTCTAGATAATGGAGAAGGGTTTATTGCATCAAGATCTCCTTAAGAGCATACATGAACTCCAACATCAATATTATTACTCTGTGGCTGACAGGAAGCAAAGGAAATGTTAATTTTTAAGGATATTTCTTTCAGTTCAATAGAGTTAAATAATAAGGAAAATACTAGTGAAAGGAACAAAAGCATGAAATTTTGTAAGATGCTCCTTGTCAGTTAGACATTGTTCTTCCATCAAATATTAACTAGGTTCATCCCTCTTACCTTCCCAGATCAGGTGTGTTTATAGTAGTATTGATATAGACTAGGTGCTGTTCTTTTCATTAACCAAAAATAAAATCTGTCCTCATTTTCCATAAAGAACACCCTTGTTTTGCATAGCACTGAATATCAGAGAGTAAAGCAGACAATATGGGTTCTACTATTATGTCAATATGCAAATGAGAGAGAGAGAGAGAGATCCCAGGTTGCTAGTGAACTGTGGAGTCTTTATTGGCACCCAGAAAATCTCACCCTGAGTCCTTACCTCTTCCAAGCTCTCTGGAGATATTTCTGGCCATAAAAACCAGAGCTGGTTCTGGACTGATTAGTGTTTTCCAGTGGAGACCTTCCTAAGTAATGGCAGTCTTCCTCTTCATAGGAAAGCCTCATTCACTTATATCAGATACATTACATAATCCCTTAATTGGTCCCATTTTATTTGCATGTTATATTATCATTTTGTATTTCAGAATGTGCCTTCATAAGATTGAATGTACTTTAATAACATGTTGTGGAGCACAGTGATATACTTACATATAACTCGTTGAAATCCTACATATTTCTATCCATTTGTTCATTTATTTATAAGGCTTTAGATTTCTGTTACCACAAGCTTAAGAGTCAGGGCCATGGTCTGGAGGAATTAAGTAAACTAGAATGAAACCCATGAGGTAAGACTCAGAGCTCACACACTGAAAGGATGGCAGGTGTAAAACTGGAACCAGTTCTGGAGCTATGAGGAGAGTCCAGCACGTCACATGAGGAGGACTGAGATGACAAAAGACTCAGGACCATGTGCTTTGCCAACTTCTTTTTTTATTAGGATATATTCATTGTACAGGGGACATTCATAGCGATAATTTCAAATAGGCTTATATTGTATATTGGTTAGATTGCCCCCACTCATCCCACCCCCCATAACCCACTCTTGCCCCACTTAAAGCCATCTCAAGAAGTTTCATTGTTCTATTTCAAATGAGTATATGAAGTCCATCAACCATATTCTCTCATCTTACTCTCCTTCATTCACACCCTATAAGAATGCCCCCCCCACATGTTCTTGTGCACTGTACCTATTTTATAGTCCTGTCTTTCATTATTAATTTTTAAGTCAATTTTCAAAGGAGTTTCTTTACATATTCCTGCTACAAGTATACTTTACATTGGTCAGTTCAACCCCTTCTGTTGCTCTCCCTTACCCCTTCCCTTACACACCACATTTATCAACAGCTTTCAATACTTATCCTTATATCCTTTACTTTCACAGAGTTTATGTATTAAAATATTGTTGACACACTATTATTCCCTTTTTCTCCCTCCTTCCCTGATTCCGTTGTCCATTCCCTGTTATTCTCCCTTACCCCTTCCTTACACACCACATTTATCAACAGCTTTCAATACTTATCCTTATATCCTTTACTTTCACAGAGTTTATGTATTAAAATATTGTTGACACACTATTATTCCCTTTTTCTTTCCCTCCTTCCCTGAGTTCCGTTGTCCATTCCACTGTTATAAACATGTTTTACATATAAGTTTGTATATGATCATGTTTGCTTATTTGTGTATATAAAATCTTTTGGATCTATCTTCCACATATAACAGAAATCATGTGGCCATTATCTTTCTGAACCTGACTTACTTCACTTAACATGTTGCACTCCAATTGCATTCATTTACCTTCAAACCATATGGTGTCATTCTTCCTTATGGCTGAGTAAAACTCCAATATATATATATATAATATATATATATATAATATATATATATATATATATTGGAGTGTGTGGGTTGTTTCCATAGCTTGGCTATTATGAGCTGTACTGTGATAAACATCAGTGTGCTAGTATTTCTGTTGTATCCTGACTTACTTTCCTCTGAACATATGCCCAGGAGCAGTATCACTGGATCATATGGCAGTTCTATTTTTAGCTTTTTGAGGAATTTCCATACTGCTTTCCATAATGATTTTACTGATCTGCATTCCCACCAACAGTGTGTAGGAGTTCCTCTTTTGCCACTTCCTTGCCAGCATTTGTTGTTTTTGCTCTTGAAGATGGCCATTCTAACTGGGGTGAGATGAAATCTGAATCTGGTTTTGATATGCATTTTTTGATAGCCATGGAAGTTGAACACTTCTTCATGTATTTATTGGCAATTTGTGCCTCTCCATGAAAATTCTCTGTTCAATTCATGTGCCCATTTCTTCATTCAGATGCTGATTCTTTGGGGATTGAGGTTTTTGAGCTCCTTGTAGATTTTGGATATTAGTCCTTTATTGGATGAATTACTACAAAGATTTTCTCCCATTCTGTGGGCAGTCTCTTAGGTCTAATGAGTGTTCCTTTGCTGTGCTGAAGTTTTTAGTTTGATGCAGTCCCATTTATTCATTATTGTTGAGCCAATGAAGTGTATTTCTTACTACCTCCTGCAGTTGGTTCAAAGTTCCAAGACTTATATTAAGATCTTTCATCCACTTTGAGTTGATATTGGTACAGGGTGAAAGACAAGTATCTTCTCATTCTTCTGCTTGTGGATATCCAGTTTTCCCAGCAGCATTTGTTGAAGAGGCTATCTTTTCCCCATCATGTGTTTTGGGTTCCTTTGTCAAAGATCAGTTGGCTGTAGATGCATGGATTCATGTCTGGGTCTTCTATTCTGATCCATTGGTCTTCTTGTTTGTTTTTGTGCCAATACCATGCTATTTTTATTGTTATGGCTCTGTAGTATAGTTTGAAGTTGGGTATCATGATGCCCTCAGCATTGGACATTTTGCTCAGAACTGCTTTGGCTATTCAATGTCTTTTGTGTTTCCATATGTATTTCAGGATTGATTTTTCTATTTCTGTGGAGAATATCATTGGACTTTTTTTATTCATTTATTCATATGTGCACATATTGTTTGGGCCATTTCTCCCTCCTGTCCCCACCCCACTCCCTCTGCCCTATTCCCCTCGCTCCCAGGCAGAACCTGCTCTGCCCTTTTTTCCAATTTTTTTGAAGAGAAGACATAAGCAATGATAAGAAAGACAAAGCGTTTTTGCTAGTTGAGATAAGGATAGCTACACAGAGAGATTCCTAGCATTACTTCCATGTACAAGTGTATTACAACATGAATTGATTCATCTGTACCTGATCTCTTCATTACTTCCCAGTCACCTTCCCATATTGACCTCTGTTGCTTTAAGGTTACTGTATTAGCTCCACTGCAGTGGGCACATCAAACACTTTCAAGTGTTGGGCATCCTACTTATCCCCATTCCTACCCTTAGTGTGTGACCCAAGTCCAATAACATCACTGCCTTTGCCCTAGATCTAAAGTCCACATATTAGGGAGAAAATACAATTTTTGGTCTTCTGAGCCTGGCTAACCTTGCTCAGGATGAAGTTCTCCAGTTCCATCCATTTACTTGCAAATGATAAGCTTTCATTCTTCTTCATGGCTGAGTAAAACTCCATTGTGTATAAATACCACATTTTCTTAATCCATTCATCAGTAGTGGGGCATCTTGGCTATTTCCATAACTTGGCTATTGTGAATAGTGCTGCAATAAACCTGGGTATGCAGGTGCCTTTGGTGTAACCTGAGTCACAATATTTGGGTATATTCCCAGGAGTGGGATTGCTGGATCAAATGGCAAATCTATGTTTAGATTTTTAAGAAGCCTCCATGTTGTTTTCCAGAATGTTTGCACTAGCTTGCATTCCCACCCACCAGCAGTGCACAAGGGTTCCTTTTTCTCCACATCCTTGCCAACACATGTTGTTGGTTGTGTTTTTGATGATAGCTATTCTACCAGAGGTGAGGAGGAATCTTAGTGTGGTTTTGATTTGCATTTCCATTATGGCCAGAGATGGGGAGCATATTTTAATGTGTTTTTTGGCCATTTAAATTTCTTCTTTTGAGAAAGTTCTGTTTAGTTCAGTTGCCCATTTCTTTCTTGGGTCATTGATTTGGGAGTTTAGTTTTTTGAGTTCCCTGTATATTCTGTTTATCAATCTTTTGTCTTATGTATAGCTGGCAAATATTTTCTCCCACTCTCTGGGTGGTCTCTTCAGTTTACATAACATGTCTTGTGTTGTGCCAAAGCTTTTTAATTTTATGTAGTTCCATTTGTCCATCCTTTCTCTTAGTTGCTGAGCTGCTGGGGTTTTATTGAGGAAGCCCTTGTCTATACCTATTACTTCCAGAGTGTTTCCTGCTCTTTCCTGTACTAACTTCAGAATTTAGTGTCTGATATTAAGGTCCTTGGGTTCATTTTGAGTTGATACTAGTACAGGGTGATAAACCTGGATCTAGTTTCAGTTTTTTGCAAGTACATAACCACTTTTCCCAGCAACATTTGAAGAGGCTGTCTTTTCTCCATCATATGTTTTTGGCACTTTTGTCAAAAATAGGTTGGGCATAGTTGTGTGGATTCACATCGGGGTACTCTATTCTGTTCCACTGGTGTTCATGTCTGTTTTTGTGCCAGTACCATACTGTTTTTATTGCTATTGCTTTGTAATATAGTTTGAAGTTGGCTATTGTGATACCTCCAGCATTGCTCTTTTTGCTGAGTATTTTCTTGGCTATACACAGTCTCTTCTGCCTCCAAATGAATGTAGGGTAGCTTTTAGCAATCTCTGTAATGAATGTCATTGGGATTTTTATGGGAAGTGCATTGAACATGTACATTGATTTTGTTAGTATAGCCATTTTGACTATGTTGATTCGACCAATCCATGAGCACAGGAGAACTTTTCACCATCTGTAGTCTTCCTCAATCTCTTTTGTCAGGGGTTTGTAGTTTTCCTTGTAGAGGTCATTCAAATCCTTTGTTAAGTTTACTCCTAGGTATTTATTTTTTTGGGGGGTATAGTAAATAGAATTGTTCCATATAATCTTTCTCAATGTGTTCGTTGTTGGTTTATCGAAAAGCTAATGATTTTTGAATGTTGATTTTGTATCCTGCCACCTTGCTATAGCTGTTTATGGTGTATAGGAGTTTTTGGGTAGAGTTTTTTGGGTATTTAAGATATAGAATCATGTCATCTGCAAATAGGGATATTTTGACAGCTTCTTTACCTATTTGTATTCCTTTTATTTCTTCTTGCCTAATTGCTATGGCTAGGAATTCCAGGACTATGTTGAATAGGAGTAGGGATACTGTGCGGCCTTGTCTCATTCCTGATTTTAGGGGAAATAATTTCAGTTTTTCTCCATTAAGTATGATGTTGGCTATAGGTTTATCATATATAGCCTTTACAAGGTTGAGGTACATTCCTTCTATTCCTAGTTTACCTGAGAAAACATTTGGATATTATCAAAGTCTTTTTCTGCATGTATTGAGATGATCAAGTGGTTTTTGTCTTTGCTTCTATTAATATGCTGTATTACATTTGTAGATTTGTGTATGTTGAACCACGCCTGCATCCCTGGGATGAAGCCAACTTGGTTGTGGTGAATGATCTTTCTGACATTTTGTTCGATTTGGTTTGCCATTATTTTAATGATGAATTTTGCATAGATGTTCATTAAAGAGATTGGCCTATAGTTCTCCTTTTATGAGGTGTCTTTTTCTGATTTTGGGATGAGTGTAATACTGGCTTCATAAAATGTGTTAGGCAGTTTTCCTTCCCTTTTTATTTCATGGAACAGTTTGAGGAGGGTTGGTATCAGTTCTTCTTTAAAGGTTTGATAGAATTCAGCAGAGAATCCATCAGGTCCTGGACTTTTCTTTTTTGGGAGACTATTGCTGTTTCAATTTAATTTTGTTTTATAGATCTTCAGGTGATTGATATCCTCTTGGTTC